AATTTCGTGGGGAAAACATGGAAATAATTTGTCATTTTATATTGCAAAGATATGCTTTCTTCTTCTGTTTTCCACACACATTTTTGTGGAAATGGATATAGTACTGTAAACAATGAGTGACGTATACGTGCGAGAGATCACTTCCGGCGCTTGCGTAAACTACGCCAGAGCGCGTACACACCTCACGCACCGGATGCCATGCGCGCGCTCAAAGACAGTTGGACATAGTGTTGTATTGACTGTCAGTTAATGTACATACAACACAAGAGTTTGCCGAAGTATTTGATGCCATTCCTAGTGGCTTTATTCAACTTTTGTTGAGTCTATCCCTTTATATACTTATCAGTTAAGTATTAATGGTGTGAAAATTATAGATAATACAATAACTTTTATATTAAAAAAATATGTGGAACCACATTATTGCCTAATGCAAACCTTTTTGTAATTCGTTACATGCTCAGTTTGAATGGAAAGAGGTCTGGAATGTACCCAGTTAATACTGTCTCACCAATAAAGATAAAGCAGTTACAAGTTATTCATTAGATTTACCCAGTGACACAAGCAGTTGCTCAATGTTTTAGAGACATGGAGACTACATTCATCTTTTGTAACTTAGGGGAAGAATCCATAAACACTTATTTTATATTGTGTATTTACCCAAATGTGTTGGATTGATATTGAATATTTTATATTTAAATTTATACAATTAAAGATTCAATTCTCTGGTAAATATATATTTTTGTTGTAAGTTTGGAGCAAAATTTGGTGATTAGTTTAATAATGATGTTTGGGAAATACCATATACACAAACAAAAATGGTCTAATAATAAACCTAACATTACATTATTTAAAATTGAACTTGAGCATTACATTGAAGCTTTAAAAGATCCAAAAAATAAAAAAGGATATTATTGAATCCTTTTCTTATGGAAATTTCTTGCAAGTTATCCCCTGTAGTAGTTTTTTTCTTCTTTCTGTTTGTTCATTTGATGCTATTATAAATGTAATTGATAATAGTTAAAACCCCTGTGATCCTCTATATATGCATGTTGTATTCTTTAATATATAATACGGTGCGCTCTTTCGCTGCATGATTCAGTCTATTAAAAAGCATTCAGAATGATCACAAATTCAAGACATGGGGGCAGAAAAGGTGTATATTTATACCACTTCATATAGTTAATCAGTTTCACACGAAGAGTGCCGTTTTTCTCCAAAAATTAGCATGATTACGAATGCGATATTGATTTTTTACAACAGTTCAATAAACAAGTTAATTAAGAGACTTGCGTTTTTGACACTATATTGCCTGTTTTTGCGCTATTTCGACAAAAATAATTCCAAGCACAGCCACAGCGCTGTTTTGCGTCTCTGAGCAACATGGAGTTTCGTTCCTGAATGAATCAACAACCGTTTAAATGATTCGGGTTCAGTCGCAATGACTCACTTATTAACACTCACTTGCTGCCACCTACTGGCGGTTTTAGTTTGACATTTAAAGTACCTTTTTATGATTTAAATAATTTCAAATATCAGTATTCAACGTTTTAGGTTTAATATATCAAAACATTATATATGCATGCGTAACTGCAGGTTAAATGCATTCATGTCCTGTATTAAACTGAGTAAATGCATCTAAATGCCACTTCAGACACAGCTTCTGTGTTTCCTCTGCAATGCAAACATGAGTTTTGTTGAAACTGATTTCATTTGTTTGGTAACGGCCCAAATGTCTTCTTACTTTAATCGACTGATTAGATGTAAGAAACTGACTCAAAAGATAAATGCACACTTTTAGAAAAAATGGCTTTATAAAAAGGTAAAAAAACACCCATAACAGGTTAAAAAAAATCAACTTATTGGAAAAGATTGATTTCTATCATTGTGAATTGACCACAACACGAAGAATAACATGAAGAATATCAAAAACTTTAGGAGTCAGCGGTCCACGGCAGTCCACGGTAACACACTCAGCAAAATATGGTCTAATTATCGTTATCGAAAAAAATCCCAGAAAATATCGAGATGTTATTTTGTGTCAATATCGCACCTTCATCACAGCCAGGAACCGATCTAGAAGATTCACCGCGAGGGAGAACGTCTCCGAACTGAAGCCGAAGAACCGCGTCAAGGAGAGAAGGTCTCGGACTTGGAAGTCTCTCAGCTTGACCGTCATTCTCAGACCGTTATCCTGAGCGGACTCGATGACTCGCAGTCCACAGAGTTTGGGCTGATACCTGGCTTCTTGATCCAGAAGGGCTTTGAGCTGGACGGTAAAGGGCAAAGCCCCCACTCCGGTCACCTGATCAATCATCTACAATAATAACACAACAGCAGCATAGAAATATTCAGCTAAAGCAGTATTAAACACAGACGTTCTACATTGTGGATAATCATCTCAGCCATGTGCAAATGTAACATGCTGTTGAAAGCTTTTATTATGTGTTTTGCATACGGACTCAATATAACATGAAATGCAAATACAAACTGAGCACATGCACAAACAAAAATGGTCTAATAATAAACCTAACATTACATTATTTAAAATTGAACTTGAGCATTACATTGAAGCTTTAAAAGATCCAAAAAATAAAAAAGGATGTATACAATTTTTGAATCCTTTTCTTATGGAAATTTCTTGTAAGTTATCCCCTGTAGTAGTTTTTTTCTTCTTTCTGTTTGTTCATTTGATGCTATTATAAATGTAATTGATAATAGTTAAAACCCCTGTGATCCTCTATATATGCATGTTGTATTCTTTAATATATAATTATTTACATTTAGTCATTTAGCAGATGCTTTTATCCAAAGCGACTTACAAATGAGGACAATATTAGCAATCAAGTGCTATAACAAGTCTCAGATAGCTTAAGGCAGCACACATAGCAAGGTTTTTTTTCAAATATAATAAATAAAAAGAAAACAGAATAGAAAAAGAATAGACCAAGCTAGTGTTAGAGGCCTTTTTTGCTTTTGTTAATTTTATAATAAATAAAAAGAAAACAAATACATAGAATACAAAGAGATTAGAAAAGCTAGTTGTTTTCTTAAAAATAAAAAAAAAACCTAAGCAGTAAATGAATAGAGTGTAAGTCTAAAAGGGACACGTTTTTTTTTAATTTAATATATATTTAATAATTCTTTTCGACTTCAGAAAGATCATCTTGGATGATGGTGAGTAAATTATCAGGACATTTTTTATTCTGGAAGTGAACTAATCCTTTAAGCATCCCTAAAAAATATCTAATTTCGGACTTTTAAAATAAAAGCTCGTAAAGGTTTTTTTTTTCTCTCAAAGATATCCTGTTAAATCACGTAAGAGACATTAAAACAAGTGTCCATCTGGTAACTTACAACCCTAAACGCTTTGAGATTGAGAACGAGGGTCCGAGTACATGTCCAGGCATGTCCCGGCTTCCGAAACCGGGACGTTAACGGTTTACTCGCTTAAACATTTACACGGTAACCGTTTACTCCAAACGAAACGGCTCATGTTTACACTTTTCTAGTTATTTCTGCGTGACGCAGTCGCGTACAGCACGAGACAGCAGGCGTGCGTCAGCGTGCGCGAGACGCTGGTCATGTCTGGGCATGTCCACTAACTAGTGCGCTAGCTATATTTAAACCCAGTTAAAGCCATCAACCAGTTGGTTTTGTGTCAGTCGTCTCTAAATAACAGCTTTAAATCGCATTAAATACACATATCCACACATTTACGCACTAAACTCCATTCCCACGCCATTTATTTTACGTTTAGCGTACGAACGTAAGAGTCTTGTGTTGTTTTACGGCGGTGGAGAACATCTGGAGGCCTGATCGACGATCAGCTCAAAAGAAACATCTAGAAGCTAAAAAAACACACAAGTAAATAGCGCCTATACGTATAAAATCTGAAATATCGATAATGATTGATTAAACTGCTTACCTTTCGTAGATTTGACGATCTGGATTAAAAACAAAAAATATGAAGCTGTGAGTTTATGAAATAAAAGTTACTAAAAAAAGAAAGTTCCAAGTATGTAAGTTTAAAGCAATATAACTTCTGCGCCCTGCACACCCCAACCCTTGGCGTCAGGCAGTGACGCGCAGGCTGCTTCCATGCTTTATACTCGGAGAAAGTCCATATCCAAACATAGAAGCACCTTATTGGGCAGTGCTCACACAGAGCTCCGTCTTTCTGAATGCCTATTGGTTGAGCTTTGTCTGTGGGCTTTGGCCACGCCCCACTAGCAAGATATAGGCGGGGTTTACGCGCTCGGCAGTGCAGTGAAATCCAGCATGTTAGATATTCAGTGCGCTCCCTTGATCGTTGATACAGGCCTGCAAAGCAAAAAGTAAATTAATAAATAGAAATAAATACATTTAAAAATTATTACAAGTATTAAATCACCACCATAACTGCGTCGCAACATTTTTGTTACATATTATTATATTATACAATGTTACATATTATTATATTATATTATATTATTAAACATATAACCAACTAATACAACAACCTGTGATAAAAGCCAATGTGTTGATAAAAAAACAACAACTCGAAAACAATAATATTTAGATAACCTCACGCATACAGACATAAAAGTGAAGCGATAAACATTCAGGTAATGGATAAAGACCGAGAATTACCTTGCTTTGTCTTGTGGCACTAAATCTGAATCAAGTCATCTAGGTTATATCTCTTATTGTGGCTATGTAACATGCAAAGTGAGAATTAATTAAGCCACAAAGGGAAAAGAATATATAATATAATATAATACAATTTTGAACATTACAGAATAATTTAAAAACGAAGCGAGAACAATGCTGTAATAACTCTGTCTGATCCTATTGTGCTCGCGAAGCATTAGAAAGCTCCAGAAGGTTCCAGGGGTTTTAGGACAACAGCAGGCCAAAGCAACAAAACCTCTGAATATAATAAATCTGCACTGTGGCAGTGACTCTCGTGGTCAAGCAAACAATCAGATAAATAAATAGACAATAAAAGAAATGCAAAGTTGTTTGTGTATGAGGACATTTCTAAACACATGCTCCAAATTCACAGACGACAAATTCTGTAAAGATAAGCGAGATGAAAATACAAGATGTTTGCAAAAATCAGAATGAAAAACTAATATCTGTATTAATTTGATATTATGAAAAGCATGAGCTATTTTTGATTGCTTACTGTTTCAGTTCCAACAGATGGCGCCAAACATATTACTAGGCCTACATCTCAGTGCACCTCACTGCAAAAACCTTCACGATAAAAGCAAAGAACTCGGCATTTTCCGTGCATTTATATGCATCTTACAAGCGTGCCGAGATCCTTGTTAGCATTTCTTATAAGCATGGATAATCCTGCTGCCGCTTTCCCTTTATTGGTGCACAGGAGAGATCCCCCGGAGACAAGAGTTACAGACCTGCCTTTTTCACAAGCTTTTAACCCAGTGCCTAGTTACAACACTGAGCTTCGGCAAGGACGAGGGGGTTATTTTCATTGTGTGAGATGTGGACGTATGTCTAGCTTTCCCCAGTTAATGAGCTGTGCAGGAAAACAGCATGGAGGCCATTTAGCTCGAATGTACACTAGCTGTCAACAGTTTAGATTTTTTTATGTGTTTTAAAGAAGTCTCTCCTGCTCACCAAGCCTGCATTTATTTGATCCAAAATACAGCAAAAGCAGTAAAATTCTGAAATATTATTACAATTTAAAATAGCTGCTTTCTGTGTGAATATCTGTTAAACTGTAATTTATTCCTGTGATCAAAGCTGTATTTTCAGCATCATTACTCCAGTCTTCAGTGTCACATGATCTTCAGAAATCATTCTAATATGCTGCTGCTCAAGACGAATTATTATTATTATTATTATTATTATTATCGATATTTAAAACAGCTGAGTAAATTTTTTCTGGATTCTTTGATGAATAGAAAGATCCAAAAATCAGCATTTATCTGAAATAAAAAAATATTTTGTAACATTATATACATTGTACCATTCAAAAGCTTGGAGTCAGTATATTTAAAAAAAAAAATTTTTTTGAAAGAAATTGTAGAAATTTATACTTTTATTTAGCAAGGATGCTTTAAATTGATCAGAAGTGATGATAAAGACATTTATAATGTTACAAAAGATTTCTATTTCATATAAATGCTGTTCTTCTGAACTTTCCATTCATCAAAGAAACCTGAGAAAATTATACTCAGCTGTTTTCAACATCATAATAATAATAATAAATGTTTCTCGAGCAGCAAATCAGCATATTAGAATGATTTCTGAAGATCATGTGACACTGAAGACTGGAGTAATGATGCTGAAAATTCAGCTTTGATCACATGAATAAATTACATTTTACTGTATATTAACATAAAAAGCAGTTATTTTAAATAGTAAAAATATTTCAAAAATTGTACTGTTTTTGCTGTACTCTGGATCAAAGAAATGCAGGCTTGGTGAGCAGAAGAAACATTAAAAATCTTACTGTTAGACTGGTAGTGTATAAATACATTTTCCTCGTATATGTCATGCATAAACTGGCAGGTCTGAGATGTTAAAGAGGCATAGCTGCTAATTAAGGATCTTACTGTACGCTGCACATATGTCAATATCCCAAACGGATGCAGGGCTGATTTGAGAGTGCTTAATTATTTCCTCCTGATTGAATATTCAGATATTTAAATAATCCTCTATTATAAAATGGGGCAGCACACTTTAAGCCCCCTGTTGCCTTGTTTGGGTGGCAAAGCAAGCGTACTCACAGTGACAGCTTGAACAGGAGACACACAAGAATCCTGCTGTTTGGAGCACATGCCTCATTATTGAGATTCATCTGCAGCCCTCTTTTTGCCGGAAGTCTTGGCAAACTGACTTTAGGACTCCAGGCCATGACTGAACATAAACATGGCTGATTTGATGGCACCTGACAGCGCTCGTAGCTGAGCAGGTAAACAGTCGCCTCATTTTAAATGTGTCTGAAGCACAATGCATACAATGCCAAATTACCTTCTACTTACACATGCAGTGAAACAGAACACTGCAAAACATGATTTTCTTCCTTAGTATTTTTGTCTTGTTTTCTAAATATCTATGAATTCTTGAATCAGGATGCATTTACTTGACAAGTAAAATGACTTAAGATATTATGTCTTGTTTTCTGTAAAAAAAACAACAACAAAAAAAATTGTGTTAGTTTCTTGCTTAAAACAAGCAAAAATATCTGCCAATGGGGGTATTTTTATTTTTATTTTTTCAGAAAATAAGATTAAGATTACTATTTCAAATAAATGCTGTACTTTAACTTCTATTCATTAGTTAATCCGGGAGAAAAAATTATCAGTTTTTCCACAAAAATATTGTGCAGCACGACTGTTTTCAACATTGATAATAATCAGAAATGTTTCTTGAGCAGCAAATCAGCATATTAGAATGATTTCTGAAGGATCATGTGACACTGAAGACTGGAGTAATGATGCTGAAAATACAGCGCTGCATCACAGAAATACATTACAGTTTAACAGATATTCACAAAGAAAACAGC